GAGCCAGAGGCGATCTGCGCATTTCCTTCTGCCATTTGGAGGCATGCCAAGATGTTACATCTAAGATCCATTTTTTTTATCACTTTTGCGTAACGAAGCAGAAGGTCGAACACAAACGTAAAAACCAGGACTTCTCTCCCTCGCCCCCGCCCCCCCGCCCTTCCCCGCCCCCAAAGCTTATACCCTGGGGCCTAACGGCAGAGCGCCGCTTTTTCATCATGCCGTCTGACTCATTTTGTTCTGAGAAAAAAAATTAATTATAAGAGGTTATCCCTTGCTGATTTAAATTACATGTAATCATTTAAATATATTTTCGATTAGCTAGCCTGATGTCTCAGCAAAATATCCAATTGTCCTTCGAATTCTTAGTATTTTAAGGAATCAATATCAGTATCTGGCCAACTGCCCACTTACCCCTCCCCTAACTCAACAACAGTCAATTGACAACAACTTAAGGTTAATGTTAGGTTAGGGGAGGGGTAGGTGGGCAGTTGCCCAGACACTGATATTGATTCATTTTAAGTAAGTAATTGTAATTTTTCTCAAATTGGTTCAAGTATGATACCATTGTTCTTAGACAGGTCTTGTTAAACAAATGAAAGAACTGTAACGGCCAACATTTTGTTATAAAACTCTTTACTTTTGTAACGACTTTAAATAGTATTAGGCCGGTCGAAAATTCGAAGCGAATTTCTACAGCTGAATAAGAGATGACCCGTTGCCAATCTTTCCGACAGCGACAAAATTGACTGTAAAGAAAGATAATTGAGATTTTTCCACCCATATTCGAAGGCTGCGTTTCACTAAATTTCGAAGTTTTCCGGTTTTTATTAAGCTCAGGATATTGACACGAATTCATGCTTTATTTCTTCTGAGTATCGTGTTTAACATCCAACACCTAAATTTCCGTTCTTGGTCGTCTGGAGCCACAATCTAACACGACCCATCCAGACAAGAATGGCGCGCATCACTTCAACAGACAGCTACCTAAATAGATTCCACATTTGAATAGACCTGCTTTCGGTTTCATATGCTTATTAGTTACTAAGCTACAGGAAATCATTTAATAAAATAGCGGTGCTTTGATTCGACTACTTAATTCCGCGGATCTTTTGCAACGCTTAAAAGTAATCAGTTGGGTTTTAATGAAATTTAAAATTGTTTTTAAGCCAGGGAACGCTAGGTTTCGGCGTTTTTCAAACAATGTTAGGGAGAAATGAAAGTATTTCATTCAGCGTGACTTTGTTTCACCGCGGCCGAGAAAGTTACTTCATACTGGATGTACTTTGAACCTTAGAAGAAAACAAGTGTTTGACATTAGGAGTTTAATGCTAATAATCATGCATAGTAATTACGTTTTTCATGATTATTTTCCCTTGAAATTGCGTGATTTCAACGCTTTCACGACTGTTTTAAAAGAAACCGCGCGCTGCGCAGTTTTCAAGTATCCCTTCAGTTCTCCGCACTAAATTTCTAATTGAGTCTCAATTTTGAAGGATGCTAAAAACACAGTATAACATTTGTGTCACTTTTGTGTCAATAAAGATGGATAACTCTGTTGATTAGCTTGCATGGCTTCCTAGGCAACCTTGATCAAAGCGATCAAACCAATCATTTTCGACATGTAAGGCAATAAAAATCTCCCACCTCCCTCTTCGTCAACCCCACGCCGTTCCTTACCGGAAGCTTTCTGGTTACGTAGTGTTTCAGGAATGGCAGAAACGAGGTCAAGGATCATCATAATCGTAATACGTGGATTTATGTGCACAGGCAGGAAAGCGGAAAATGGCTTTCATCCTTGTTACCAGGAAAAGGAGTTGTCTGTTTTATTTTTCTTTTTCTTTCATTGGTCGCTAGATCGACGCTTGCTTTGAGAGGATTTGGTTGTTTTGGTTTTTTTTTCCCACGCATAAGATTAAGATTACGCAGAGAGGAAGGCGCAGAGACAGGTTACCGGTTATTTTCGTCGATTGAACTAAATAAACATCAGTGCCCTCTGAATTCATATTTTGATACGTGTGTTATATGTATACGTTTGCAATCGCCTCCGACACTACCCTTATTGTGACAGATGTCAATCAATGTACTCCTACTGGAGTGTAGCCGACCTTAGTACATTGCACCATACACTGTTAGTTCAATACCTGAACGAAAACCGTGGGTATTGTACGTAAATTATGGTGTCATCGTCAGGTCATTTGCTACGAATTACAGAGCGGTTTATCCTACTCAACAAGGTTTAAAGTCGCCGCGCGAAGCCAAGAAAAATTCGGTTCAAATTTCAAGCATGTTACGTCATCTTATTAATCACGTGCTAGGTCACATGCTCAGTGTGGTAAAATAGAAAGTATAATCAGCGATTCATTCTTCTTCAGAAAGGCGTTGGTGCAGGAGACATTTCGCTGAAGCAAATTTATATTACCTTGGGAAAGGCATCATTTTTCGATAAAATCATATCGAGGTGAGCTTAAGTTATGTTTAAAAAATCTTCTTATTGCTTTCTGCACATGGTAGAACGGCATGTCGTGACTGGCGAGGCAAATCAACATTGAAAGAAAGCTTTGACCTGATGGAAATATAACCTAAGTGAACTAGCTTGGCACACCTCAGGCATCATTTGCAGTATTTCGTTACGAATCATCCTAGACCGTTGACCGCCAACATGATTTCGACGATGGGGATTTCTGGTGGCGAAAACTTCAATATTGAAAACAATTTAGGGCCAATATGGTGTATTCCGAAAGTTCGAACATTCAAACACGCGATCAGAAATTTACATATGGGTGCGCCATTATTGAGGATACACGATTAATTTTTATACTCACTCGATTGCCGCCAAAGTATTTACGCGGCGATACAAACCTATAAAGACGAGGAACAAAATAAAATTTGTAAGACAAGGGAAAGCGAGTGGATTTATCAATATTTCTGTCATCTTGATGTTGAAATCGGCCCGGTTTCGCAACGTGTTCGTAGTAGTATACAATATTACTGTTTTCAGTGTGTAGTTTTGAAATAATTGCAGCTATTCAGCGGAGAAACCAATACTGTTTCTTTATTTATTACTTCACTGTGTACTGTGTATAGTCCCTTTTGATCGCTTCAGTGAGTAATGTGGTAGAAGAAAAGTCTAACCGCTCGCAAGCTTGCGCCCGGCAAAATTGGCGTGGTCGAAGCAACACCCACACACAAAGATCTTTGTAATTTGTAAAATTTATTAAAGTGGCCTGTGTCTGCTTTAATCGGGCTGGCACTTGTATTTTATCGCTTCGATGTCAGCCCTGCCGTAGAGAAGTTTACCAGTGTTAAATTGAATTTCGTTCAAATCTGTTGGTAGGAAGCCCGCCTAACCTTTGTCGATCACGGTTCGTTAGATTCAAGCCATGTTTACTTAGCTTTGAAATGACGCATTAGAAAAGCGTCTTTGTTGTCGAATATTTTTGGCGCTCTATAAAAGTTATCTTCTTCAACCTACGGTGATGCTTTGTAGGCTTTGTAATGCTTTTTTTCCATCGTATTGTAGAAAGCAAAACAAATCCAGCTTGGGTCAAACCATGTTTCACAATTTCTCAAACACATGCGGTGTGTTTTTGAGGTTATAATTGATCGTTTCTCTTCAAAGTCAAACCTCAACTTCTAGTCAACGTTGGGGCTAGCAGTTCTTTTTATCGCTCTGCTTAGTTTCATTGCCATGTTTTACTTGTGCCCACTATAAAATAAGATTGCTTCATCCTACGGGCTTTTCGGTTACACTTGCACTGAAACTCTCTAAGCGGAAGCAGCATGTCGGCTTTCGCACAATAAATCCTGCTGCGAGGTTGTGTTTCGCCTTTCGTTTTCGATTACCCCGCTGTTTAATATTATTGAATCTAGAACTGGTAGACTGTTAGGAATTTCTGATGAAGATTTGCACAATCTACATACTGAGGCACGTGTTCGTTTTTTCGCCCTGTTTCATAACCTATTTCAGCGAATATTCAAATAAACCGAGCTATTTTTCCACGAAAAAAACTTTGAATGCGTGGTTTTTTGTTATGACTAGCATCAGCAAAGGCCTCCAAAGTAACTATTCACAAAGTGGTTTGGAAACCGTACAGTAATAATAATGTAAATTTTTGGCAACTTGAAAAGCGTCTTGAAACGCGGCCAGAAACGAGTGAGTCAGAATTCTTAGTGACAAATAAGTCCTCATGGCAATTTCTTTTAATTTGAAAAGCGAATTTTCCTCATCGGGAAACGAGTTTTTCTTGAAATGAGAGCGCTTTAATGTAGGAGTTAGGGTTGCCTTTCTCGTTTCTAGGAATATTGTAGTACCATAATCAAGTAGAGCGTGAAGTTTTGAATAAACGAGACGTGCTACGCGTGGGTTGAATAAAGAGACAAAACCGCAAGGAAAAAAAAAAGCACGAATAAGAGGAGGTCCTGTAAACTAACATGGTGCCGCAGATGGCTTTCTGAAGGAGACATGTCCATTTCTATTTTGTTTCCCGAGAATAAAACGTATTGAAATTGTAGTTCTTAAATACAATTAAATTATTCAAGTTTGTGTTGTTATTAGTCGATCGACAAATAAAACAGTTGTAATAAATTTGTCACCGATTTGAAATTATACTTCAATGTGTGGACTACTGTGTTCGGAAGTGTTAATGTATCCGAAATAAGGTTCGGTTGGAATGCCCGTTTGGTGAAAAATGCGTGATCGCGGCTAAACAGAGCAGAATACTTTAGTGCATTAAATTTCTTTATGTTTATGATAATCCAGCGTAATTAACCTCGTTACTGTTTTCCATGTATTGGCAAGTTTTCTATCTGATGAGATTTTTTAGATAGAATATTAAAAGATGAGTTTTATAAAAACATGCGGAACTGTTATGGTACATGTTAAACTGGATTTCTACAGTAATCACAATCTTATTGAGCAATTTTTTTGTCATTGTATCTTGCAGATGGAAAAAATTGTGATCTTTGCACTCGTTATCCTGTCGTGTGGTATGTGATTTAATTTAAGAGGTAAAGGCCCATTTTCAACTTGATGCAACGCGCACCGCGACCCAATTTCCTGTAACACGAAATTCCCAGATCACTAAAAACCTTCTAAAATCGTCTTTCTCAAGAGCCATCCTGGACGTATAGTCACTGTTTTACGGTAAATACATTCGCCGGTCGTCATTTTGCAGTTTCCTTACAGTATTTTGAATTTTGTCCGAAAGAATCGGAAGGAAATATTTTTAAGTGTCACGCTTGGATCTCTTCGTTCTCTGTGAACAGAGTTGGCGAAAAGGACAACGTTCGAATTTTTTCACTTTCTAGAAGCGCTTGAGGATTCTAAATGAAGATAAAATATTTCCAATAGAAATTGATATTTTTGAAAAAGAAATATGGAAAAATATCAGACTGCCGGACGTTTAGTTATTCGAAGACCGCGTCCGGTGGTGTCCAGTGCAAATTTTCTGAGTGTTGCGCTTGGATCTCTTCGCACTCTCTGTACAAGGTCAGCGAGAGAGACGACGTTGGCATTTTTTCACTTTCTAGAAGCGCTTGAGGATTGTAAATGAAGGTAGAATATTTCCCAACGAAAAATTGGTATATTTCAAAGAGAAATATGGAGTTATTTGAGGACCGTGTCCAGCCGTGTCATTGAAAAGTTTTAAGTGTCAAGCGCTTGAATGGCTTCATACGTTGTATTCAGGGTTGACGAAAAACATCAACCTCGAAATTTTAGGCTGCCTGGAAGCGCTCGAGGATTGCAAGTAAAGGTAGAACATTTTCGTATAAATATTTTTTGGATTCGAAGAGAAATATGGAAAAATATCGGACTGCCGGACGTTGAATTATTTAAAGTTAAGTTATTTATTGCAGGAACCTCAGCGACATTGACAGTTTGCGTTACAATTCTTATTTGCTGCTTTGCATGGACAACAACCTCGACCACTCTTTCGGGCGCAAGATCTTCTCCACGGGCAGGAAACTTCAACTGACCCTTAGTCCTATTAAACAAGGATGGCAAACCCAATTTTAAAAAAATGATGAATGACGACAACAACATTTTCACCTTCTTAGTAATGCTCCCAAGGATTTTTGCGTTCTTCTTTAGCAACAACCGATCCATAAGCGTTTACTGCCTCGGAATCTACTAAATCAATGGATTCATCTGATTCCTTACCGGATTGAAACGGATAGAACTGTTTTAAACAGAATTATTTTGACAAGTTCTTCAAATTCATCGGAGAACGAACAGAAGGAATTTTGAGACGTTACAAGGTAAAAATAACTGACCAATTAGAGGTGCTATTTAAACAAAAGCGGTGACTCAAAACAAAAACTAACGACCCGTTGCATCAAGGTTGGAAATGAGCCTTTAAGTCCTATTCAGTGAGGTAAAGAATTTCAAAGGATAAATTTTTTTCTTCTCCGTTTAGTGGAGCTGGCTTTTTAAGAAAGAAAAAGAAAGTATTCCCTGTTCCGATAGGAGACAATGGATACTGCCAAACCCAAGACAATCTCTGCAGAACTTTTGGTTCTTTAACCCTCTACACCCTAACATCTAAATGCATATTCTCCATACTGTTGTCTATAAATCTCCTAAGGCTGAGGACAAGGAGAATTTGCTGAACAATCTAGAGATTGTTTAGTTGGTGATCATTTCCTTTTATTCTATGACCTTAATGTTTTATTCAGCTGTGATATGCTGGTCATAAGCTTGACTTAAATTTAACTTATGACAGTTTCTAAAGCTTAAACTGTTGTAACAAATTTTAAATATTTTGTTGTAGTTACACTTTCTTCAGGTAGTGACCATTCCACGTTGTCAAGTCCAACTGCATCAGAAGGTAACATAATTTAACCCTTAAAACTCTCAGATGTGATTAACATGTCACTTCTCCCTACATTATTCATGCTTTATCCAGCAAACAGATAGTAAAAATATTTAAACTTCTCAGGTAGAAGTTGTTAGTAATTCTCATCACTAATTTACAAGGAAATGTGTAGCAGCTAATGGAGAGAATTAACAATCATCTTTGGAATAAAGGGTTAATCATGTGGTTGGCATTTTCCACTTTTAGTATTACATCAAGAGAGCAACTTCTACATGAGAAGATTGCGTATTCTCATTACCTGTTTGCTTGATACTGTATGGATATCTAAGGGAGAAGTTATATTTTACTCACTTAAAGCTATCCATACTCATTCACATTGTCAGCATTTGATAAATTACAGATAGGAGAGAGAAAGTTTGGAAAATCCCCAGAATTTTGATTGGAAAACAAAAAGAATTTTTAAGTACATGCGGAGAACCCTTTCACTCAAACCTGAATTCAAAAAGAGGGGCATTTTCAATTATATTTGGTGGACCATTTCACTTGTAGTAAGGACCAAATAATACTTTCTGTCTACAATTTTACACAGAATGCTGATCAGCTGAAATAAAAACATCAATTAGGGATTTTAATTCAGAGCTAAAATTATGAGAAATTTACCCTAGAGGGGGGCAAGAAATCAAAGTTTAGGCTTTGGGTGTAAAATATTAAAGAGCAGGTAGATCTTGCTCCTTTACACCCTAGCATTAGGATACATTTTCTCCTGACAGCCCTCTTTATCTTTTCTATGGTACCAGGAAGGAGAACTTGGTTGACAATCAAGAGTTGCTTAAGCTGGTGATCATTTTCTTTATTCTTGTGACCACAATGTGTAACTCAGGGGTGATACTGATTGGAGACATTAAACGCCAGTCACTCTTAGGGGTTAACCTTTTACACTTTGCATATTCTCCATACTGTTCTCTATAGATTTTCTGAGGTGCTAACAAGGAGAATTTGCTTTATAATCAAGAGCTCTGGTACTTGTTGATCATTTCTGTTATTCTTGTGACCTTAATATATGATTTAGGGATGATACTGTAAGGAGAAATTAGATGCTGGTCGCTCTTAAGGGATTAATGGTTTTGACATAAAGGCTAATCTGCTCTTTCTTTTTGTTTCCACAGTATCACCTTCACCAAGTAAGTTGACATATCAAATTTGCCATGGACACAGTAACTTTTTTAGTGATTTACCAAATATTGAGTTGTTAAAACAATAGCCTCTATTTGGAATGAGAATATGCAAGGACATTTCACTGCTTTCGCTTTCTGCCCCGAGAAGAACAGTTTTGGGAGAGCAAATACTGAGGAAAAGTGTGAGCTTCCAGGATGTAATGTCTAAGGACATTCATATGAGCAAGTTTTTGCAACAAATGGAGGTTTTTGTTTTTAGTATCCATAACTTATTTTTGATTAGTCCATTCTTGTGTGACAACAGTTAAATGCTTACTCATCATGAAATCAAATTCTAAAAAAGGATCCACTTATCATGTTGGTGGCAGATTTTGAAAATCAAAGGGTAGCATGTTATAACATTTTCTGAACCATGGGAAGAGTGAAGTTGAAAAAGGGAAAATAGATGTATTTTCCACTTTCTACATAACTTGAGGTTTTATTGCTTTGCCTTGAAATTTTCAGGTTCACCACATCCGGGAGCATCATCACGTAAGACTGTTGATTTTTTTTCTTCATTTTTAAAGCCCAAAGGAAGCAAAGAGAGAATGTGCCTCAGAACGAGATTTTAATGAAAGTGGAATTGGCTCAGACAATTTAACCTTCTCTGTGGCCTTACTTAAAGCTCTCAAGTCCTGCACATTGAGCACGAGACCTACCCAAACACATTCAGTCTTAAGTTGAACCAATTATTTCATGCATTTAAAGTTTCTGATTAAGTTGTTGATATTGAGTGAGCCAATTGCTGCTTTAGGGAAGTTCTCCTAAAATTAATTTTCCTTATAAATGTATTGTACTCCTTGGTTTATAAAGGAACTTACTCAGAATAAAGGAGTGCATGTCCTAACCCTTTAACTCCCAGATCAAATTTGTAATTCTCCTTACTGTCAACCATACAATTCTTATAATGTTAGTTCAGAGAATTTAGTATTGAATCAACTAATTATCCCCAAATTGATATTTTTCTTAATTCTCATCACTTACCTGGTTGATATTGTATTGATATTGTGAGGAGAAATTTTGTCTTAGTCACTCATGGGAGTTGAAGGGTTAACTACTTAATTTTTTTCACAATTTTTGGGCAGAGCACAGTTGGTCTTCCTGCCCATTTCCTAAGGTTCAGCCTTCAATTAAGTTACTAACACCAGTGTATTTCTTTTCTTCTGTCCCCTTTTTTTATTTTTTCATCTCTGCAGCTGCTCCATGTAAGTTGGATTTCGTACTACTGTCAAACTTGTATTTAGCTTCACTGCATTAAGTGTTCATCCTGTGTTAATTGGTCAGTTTTCAAAGTACTGAGATTTTTTCTGTTCAATAACTGTAATTTTCACCTTAATAAAGTGGTTGTGGTCAATGTGAGTCCTAAAGGCCTGCTTTTATCATCCTCTGAAAAACAATCACTTTAAGAGGAACCAAACAAAGAGAACTAAGAATAATCTTTCAAATAATATTTAATTTAGGCGTATCTCCCTAAATAACAAGTAGTAGTTTTAAGTGAGTTCATGCCAATTATGGCACAAAATAATATTTACAGGTGCAAAATTAAAGCAACTGATCAATATAAAAAGGCAAATGTTAGGTTTGTGCATTCAGCTTTAGGATATCAGTATCCATTGCACTTGTTGCTGCTTTCTGTCATTTAAGGATATCTCTGATAAAAGCTAAAAACAAACAAACGCAAGAAATATAAAAGCCAAAAAGCAATCTTCCTGTTGGTATTTTGGTTGGGTAGGGGAAGTACTCGTAATGGAAGTTCAATTGTAAATGGTGTTTTTTTTTTTCTTTTTTTTCCATCTATTACAATCAGCTACTACTAAGAAAGGTGGTGATGAACCAACACCAAGTAAGTACGAGTTTTTTGGTCTCATAAAATAACAGAAACCTGCATCTGATTTTCAAAAAAAATGAAGTAGGTTATTATAAATCTCTTAATTTGAAAAATCAAATTGAGCAGGCGATTTTGTAGGTTAATTTTAACCCTTTTACTCGGAGTCCCAGATTTTCAATTCTCCCCTCTAGCTGCTGTAAATTTCCCAGTGATATAGCTACAAGAATTTGGTATTTGATTAAGATATCAACATTGAGTTTATGAATTTGTGTACTCACACAACTTTTTGCTGGGTAATGTAGGGATATTGCAAGGAGAAAATACTTTATAATCGCTTCTGGGGGTTTAAGGGTTGAATACAGCAAACTCTTTCTATTTCAAAATGATATGAAAAACCTCAGTTCTGCAGTGAATTTCAATTTCTGTAGTGAAATACATTGTCACCTTGTATCAAATAGCTTATTAGCATTATTAGCAGGATGCCAATGGCAGTCCACATTGCTTGAGTGTTGTTGTATTCAGTGATAGAATTAGTCACATGCTTGTCACAAAGTTGAACACTTTCCTGTCAGACATTTGAAATGCAAACACTGTCACATGCCAATGGATTTTGCAGGTTCTCACAATGTCTTCCAAGTAGGTGTTTTGCAACCTGTAAAATTCATGATCTCTTGTAGTTTTATTAAAAAGTAACATTGCTTTTCAGCAAGCGGAACTGTTTCCTTCACAGCCAGTGCAGGCCTGGTTGTTTCTCTCGTTATGGCTTTGTGAGTATCAGAATTACACTTTTTTACTGTCCAAAGATAATTGCTTTGGGTAACCAGTCAACTCGCCGACGGACCAACTCGCCGACACCAACTCGCACAATAACTCATTCGTTATAGTTATTGGTGATGTTCACCAATGTTCACTGATGTTTAAGCTTCTGTTTGATGTTCACCAATGTCCAATGTTTTTT